CTGGCACAGGTGGGAGGCGCTGGGGTCTGTCAGCATCTGAGGAGGCTGGGCTGGCACAGGTAGGAGGTGCTGGGTTGACACAAGTAGGAGGCTCAGGGCAGCAGTGTCTGAGGAGGCTGGGCCGGCCACGGTAAGGTCCTTGGCTGTGTCTAGTGGCTTGCTCCGTCCACGGTGTAGTCGGCCCTGTGGTTCAGCCCTAGCATTGCAGCACCTGGCCTGCTGACTTGCTTCCCTGAGGTCGGTTGGACCCAGGCCCTCGAGCTGTCTGTGGAAGAGCATCGTGGTCAGGGGCAAGTTCTGTGGCAGGAGGGAGGGGGGCGGGCTATTCTAACCCTTGTTCAGCACCTTTTCTTGTCTCTCCTAGTGGGTAGGCGGGCGCTACTCGCTGTGGTCAGCCATTGGACTCTCCATTGCACTGCATGTGGGTAAGTGTGTGTGTGTTTCCAGCCAATAGCCCTGGCCCCTCTGCTCTTGGCTGGAATATTTCTCTTAGGCTAGAGGGAAGGCCTGAGATCTCTTCCGGGTGTACAGGTTGCTTTTCTCCACCCCTCACAACCACAGCCCCACTCACGTCTCACGCCAGGCAGGGTTAGCTGGAGTTTTCCTCAGGGATGACTCGGATGGTCGAGGCTTTTTCCAGTGCAAGTCCTCCATCTCCTGTTCCTTCTGGCTCCACGTCCAGCCAGAACCAGAAGCAACATGCCCACAGCAGGAGACTGGGGCATGACCCAGTGTCTCTGTGAACTCTGCTTTTGTGTTGCAGGATTTGACAACTTTGAGCAGCTGCTCTCGGGGGCCCACTGGATGGTAAGTGACAGGTTTATGTTCTCTGCCAAGAGAGCGTGTGGTTGGTCCCGCGCCCTGCCTCTCTTCTTTCCCTCCCTCCAGAGACACTGCTCAGCTCCCGCCCTTCCTGCCCTTGTTGCAGGATAACCATTTCCTCACGACGCCCCTGGAGAAGAATGCCCCCGTCCTTCTGGCTCTGCTGGGTGTCTGGTACATCAACTGTTTTGGGTCCGAGACTCACGCCATGCTGCCCTATGACCAGTACATGCATCGCTTTGCTGCCTACTTCCAGCAGGTACCCGTTGCTTAGCCCGCTTTTGGGGTCAGTGGGAACTTGGGGAGGTACCTGGGAAGCCCATGAGCTCAGGGGCCCAGACTCTTGTCTCCTTAAAGAGACCTTTTCCCCCTTTGCCAAGGCTTTTCCCTAGCTCAGGGTGAATCTTTATGAACAGCGTCTGTTGGGCCTGCGTGTCAGCCGAGCCTGGCATGTGGGCGGGCCATGGCTGGCTGTCCTGTGGCTGGCCGGGCAGGCCCTGACCTCACTCTGGCTCTGCCTCCCCGCTGGGTGGCTTTCCTCCTGGACAGCGCTGTGTGCGCTGTGATAGGCTGGGACCCCCGTGGTCTGCACTGCTCCTGCTCACCTCCTCTGCAGTGCCTCTTTGAGCTACTCACAGTGCTTGGCCCCCCACATCTCCTGAGCAGCCCCGCTCCTAGTCCCGATTCTGCTCCGGACAGCCCTTCTGCTCTGCCCCTGCTCTTTAGCACAGACCTGTCCCTGGGCGGGCTCAGCAGACCTCACCAGCACCTGAAGGTAAATCCTGTCGTTGAAGGGGACCGAGCGGCCCTGGAGCGTAGCATCTAGGTGAGGTGCCGGCCCTCCGGGCCGTACACCATGCGCCTCGTCTGCCTCTCCTGTAGAAATTGGTTGGACCTTTGACCCAACTCAGCTCTTAGGGAAGTCCTCCCCGGACCTCCATGTCTGCCCTCTCGCCGCATGACCCTCCTTCCAGGGGTCTCCTGGAAAGCCGTGAGCCTGTGTCCTCATGGGGAAGGGAGGAAAAGGGCTCACGAGGCCCACGGAGCCATCGCAGGGCCAGGGCACTGCAGGCAGGATTTGGGAGTGGTGCTGAAGGAGCAGAGCTTACAGACAGAGGTTCTGTTCCCATCCCAGGGTGACATGGAGTCCAACGGGAAGTACGTCACCAAGTCTGGCACCCGCGTAGACCACCAGACAGGCCCCATTGTGTGGGGGGAGCCAGGGACCAATGGCCAGCACGCCTTCTACCAGCTCATCCACCAAGGTGAGGCCCGCCTGGCCAAGGTGGGAGTGGGGTTGTGGAGGGTGGGCCCTCCACAGAGATGTCCCCCTCGGGTACCTGCTCTCCTGTAGGCAGATGGGTGGCTCTGTGGGCTGGGGGGCACCTGGGTGACCACAGCACCCTTCACAGGCACCAAGATGATACCCTGTGACTTCCTCATCCCGGTCCAGACCCAGCACCCAATAAGGAAGGGTTTGCATCACAAGGTAGGCCCCGACCCTCCTCCTGCTCTTCTAGGCTCACGTCACACCCACACCTCCTAAGACCAGGTAGATGGATTGTTGACTCCTGCTGCAACAGCTGACTACAAACTCGGTAGCCTAAGACAACACCCATTTGTCTGCGGGCCCAGGTGCTGCTGGGTCTCTGCTCGGGGCCTTGTGGGCCAAAGACAGGGCATCACCAGGACTGAGTCCCTTTCTGGAGACTCCAGGGAGAGAACCGTCCTCCTTGCTCACTTCCAGATGGTTACAGGACAAGGTTTAGTCCCTTTGCTGTCGGGGTCTGGGGGGAATCACTCTCAACTTCCAGAAGCCTCCTTGACTCATGGTCTGCATCTCAGCACCAGCAATGGCGGCAGCATCCTCAGTGTGGCGCGTTCCTCGCCTCCTCTTCTCACCTCCCTCTGACAGACTTCTCTGCCCTCTTCTACAGCAGTCCTCAGCCATAATGTCTTACTCAGTGGAGTTTTTCTAATACGGATGAGAAAAAGAACAATCCCAGGCGACTCAGACTGAAAAGGTGTTATTAGAAGATGTGCTTTGATGATGTGGTTTTGCTTGGAGCTGTAGTTTCCAAGCACCTGTCCGCAGCGTTTAGTGTGGGCTTACGTTTAGTGAGCCATGTGATTATGGGTGATGCCTCACCTCCTTGGGATATTAAAAGATCGTTGTCATGTGATGCAATGTTGCTCACGGGAGTAGCTGCCACTTTCTGCTGTCAGACATAGGCTCTCAGCCCCCCCTCACTCCACTGAGCTCTGCACTGGGGCTGGCAGCCGGAGCCGGGCAGGCACTAACCCGCCCTGGACAGGGCCGGGCAGTCTTGTCCCGCTACCTGAAGCCAGGCAGTGCTTCCAAGTGGATCTGGACATCTCTCTCTTCAGATCCTTCTGGCCAACTTCTTGGCCCAGACTGAGGCCCTAATGAGAGGGAAGACAACGGATGAGGCCCGGAAGGAGCTGCAGGCCGCAGGAAAGAGTCCTGTGGAGGTAGAGAAGCTGTTGCCACACAAGGTAAGCGCTGGCCAGGGACTGGAGGGGAGGAGCCATTGGGCAGGCAGGGCTTGGGTGGGAGGAGGGGCGGTGCTCTCTCCTGGCCTCCTGGGCGATGTGCGCTTCCCTCCGGGGACTCTGGGGATCATAACTAACTGGGGGACATTTCTGGGTGTTTTCTGAAGATCTTTGAAGGAAACCGCCCCACCAACTCCATTGTGTTCACCAAGCTCACGCCATTCATCCTGGGAGCCCTGATCGGTGAGTGGGCGGGAGGGCCGCCGGGTAGGGGGGGCCGGGCCGGCCGCGGAGCCCTAACAGCGCTGTCCGCCATCTCTGCAGCCATGTACGAACACAAGATCTTCATTCAGGGTATCATCTGGGACATCAACAGCTTTGACCAGTGGGGGTGAGTTTCTGACCTGGGACAGCGGGGAGCATTTGCAGGGCAGCTGACGGCTTGTCAGCAGCAGTCCTGGAACCCTGCCCCGTTCTTTCTCCTCTTCGTGGCAGAGTGGAGCTGGGGAAGCAGCTGGCTAAGAAAATTGAGCCTGAGCTTGACAGCAGCAGCCCCGTCACCTCTCACGATTGCTCCACCAATGGGCTGATCAACTTCATCAAGCAGGAGCGCGAGTCCAGAAGCCTGTAAGCGCCTGCTCCCCGCAGCCCGTCGTGACTCATGCTTCCTGTCCTTCTCAGCAGTCCGCGCTGGCCGCTGGCTTGGACCACCAGCCCTCTGGGCGTGCCGGTCTGGAACAGCCATCCTCACCCCGCCTCTGTGTTCACTGCCCTCTGTGTTCTAATTGACTGGAGTGTTTCAGTGCAACTGACCTGTGTTCACATTGTTCCTGTACCAGGTAGAAAAATAAAGATGCCATCAAGGAGGTTGTAGGCCCAGCCTCATGTTTCCGCAGACAGTGCTCTGGGCGGCACTGGAACGCGCAGTAGGGGGAGGGAACCGCCACATATTCTGGACTAAAGTTGAGAATGGACGGCCATCCTCAGAGTGGGGGGAGGGAGCACAGTCAGTCTCAAGGAAGCCTGACCTCTGTAATCAGACCCCTTCTCCATCTTCCCCATACTTCTGTCACTGTGGGGGAATTGTGTTTTCCTGTTCGTGGGGAATTTTTAAAACCCCTTTGAGATTCTGTCTGTTTTGGATGAATTCTGGCTAACATCGAGGATGACTGTCTCCTGCTAGATACGCAGGTAAGTTTTTCGTGAGGTTTTTAAATAGGTTAATACTTGTTTTCAGTTGAAGATATTTCAATTCAAGATAGTTAATATGTCTGGACAGTTAAACAGAAAAGTAGTATTGTTTAAAGAGTCATTAACTCTTTAATGGCAGACCGAGGACCACGATACAGAAGGATCTAGAAGGAGGAACTACTGCCCTTTTCCTAGGCCTGCTGCCTCTGGCCCCATCAGCTGGCCGCTGTCTTCACCCCCTCTTCTTCTGGGTCCACTTCAGCACTGTACTCTGACTTGGTCAAATGCCAGTCTCAGACGGAAGTCAGGATTTGTGTTTTGTTGTTGTTATTGTAAGGAAAAGGCAAACTACAGCCACGAAACTCAAAGAATATCCTAATGATAGAAATTGACCATACAGAAGAGCAAGTACTCGAAGAAAAAAGTGAAAACTCACAGAGGCTGACCCACTTGGGGCAATCTGGCTTCACACGAAGGGCCTCTCGCACTGCCAAGCTGCTCCATCAGCTGCCTGGTCTCATGCCTTCCCCTTGCAGGAGGAACTGGCACCTGCCAATTGACCCTTTCTTGGGTCAAGCATAACACCAGTCCTGGCTTGATAAAAGCTCCAAACCTTGATAAAAGCTCATGAATGAAGTCAGATACTTTAAATCTCACATATACAAACACTTGTTTTGCTCATCTTGTTCCAGGGACTTCATAATGTCAATGTGACAGCTGATGTTAAATTGTACAATTACAGGGCCCTCCCTGGTGGCGCAACAGGTTAAAGCACAATACTATGGAGCAATCCACAGTCACTGCAGCACGTGTTCCATCCCCAGCCAGGGAGCTGACCCACTCACTGCTCCCCTCAGCAGTTTATTTCAGTACATCTGCCTGTTCTGCTCCCCACTCTGTCTCTGGTGAATCTTCTCATCACCCGCACCTCTGGCCTACACCCCAGTTCTTGTATGCATAAGTAAGTCTTTTTAAAAAATTGTACAATTCAGAATGTGACAAAAATTAGCATCTTGAAAACATCCTAAGTAATGAGCTTTGCTGCGGTTGCATTATGATCAAGAGATACACTCTGGGCAGCTTTCCTGCCCGCCTGTGACTGCAGGGCATCTCTTTTCCAAATAAATTGTCTTTTCAAAATGTAAAAAAAAAATTCACTTTGATCAATAGGAAACATTGTGATATAAACATGGTTAATGTTCAGAACTCAGTATTCTTGCTTCCAAGAGAGATCAAACTTAAGGCAGTCTTGTCTGGACTCTCCTGAGAAGACATTCCAGGCAGACCTAAAGTCTGCAGTTCGCTGCAGTGCGTTCCTCATGAGTGCTGCTGGCATATGCCTGGCATCTTTAAGGAGCCATCTGATCTGACAGCTGGCACGCCCCAGCTCTGCCTCAGCAGCACCACTTGAGACCACACACACCTCCACACCCCCCACCCTGCAGTCATGCCTTATCTGGAGCCTGGTAACTGCTCATGGGTGTCTCACCTGGTCCAGGCTTGCACAGGAAGGCCAGCGCCAACTTGCATGAGTAACTTCTGGTTTGGAGCGACCACGGTGGGCACCATCCAGGGTAGGACAGCTGGCCACGTATGGCCTTAGAAACACTTTCCTGCCTCAATCTCGGCTTTGTAAATAAACCCGTGGAGACATGAACTTAGGCCCTGTCTTGGATCTGTGAGTTCACAGAGGAAAACCCACACATGGTGACATCCCCCCAAAACTTTGTAGTTTCAAATGAACTGGTAAAGTGAAATAATTATAAAGCATTGGACACTGAACCGGGAATAAGAGGGAGAGGGAAAAACAGTCTAGGAGATAAGGGAATGGTGGTGAAAGAAAGAGACAATAGGTGATACAGCTGTAAAAGTAAAAAATAGCATTTTCACTACTTCAGAACGTTTCTGAATCCCTTTGCTGTCAATCCCTATCCCTAAGCCCAAACCCTGACAACTACTGATGTGATGGTCAAAGTTTGCCTTTCCAGGATGCAGTATTTTGTATAGCTTCCTTCACTTAGCAGCTGTCTCTGAAATTCAACCACGTTGTGACCACAGACTTTTAAAAAGCCTTATTTTGGAAAAAAAGAAAACTTCATTGAATATAATAAACCACGTGGTGCCTCACACCACATTTCAACAATTGCCAACTTAATGGCCGACCTTATTTCCTCCAACAACTTCATCGAGGCATCCTATTGAAGCCAAGCTCAGATCTATCACTACGTCTGTAAGCTTTTATTTGTATCCCAACAAAAATTAGGGACACTTTTTGTTGTTGTTAACGATACTACTATTCGACTTATTTCAGGTGAATCTTTATGGCGGGACTGCTTCACACACCCACCATCTAGGGCACCACTGGCCCCAGGCAAGCGGGCGGGTCCCCGTCACCCCCTCAGGGGCGGGGCCGCGGGTACGGCGTGCGGTGCGCATGCGCAGAGAAAAGCGCCATCCGGCTTGCCGTAGTTCACGTGGGCGCCGCGTCGTCATGGCGGCGGCTCGGAAGCCGGTGCTGCTCGGCCTTCGAGACGCTGCGGTGCGCGGCCGCCCCACGGGCCCGAGCGCCTGGACTGCTAGCAAGCTGGGCGGCGTCCCGGTGGGTGGGGCGCCGGTGGGTGCTGGTGAGGGCCACGGGGTGATGGAGTGGGCGGCGGCCCGGGGGGAGTCGGGGTCTGAGCGCCTTCCCCGGTCCGCAGGACGCCCTGCCCGCCGTGGCGGCGCCGAGGCCGGTGTGCGATCGTTGCGGGCAGCCGCTTGCCCTGGTGGTGCAGGTCTACTGCCCTTTGGGAGGCTCCCCGTTCCATCGGCAACTGCACGTGTTCGCTTGCCCCCAGCCCGGGTGCAGCAGCGGCGGGACGCACAGGTAGGCGGAGAAGACCTGGAGTTTCCCCTGGATTTTGTACCCCCCCGAGGTGGGGCGGGCCAGGGCCAGCCGACTGGGACTCGGGGGTGCAGCCCTTATGACAGTTTATCTTTACCCTGAAGCTGGAAAGTGTTCCGCTCCCAGTGTCTGCAGATGCGAGAGAAAGAGGCGCAGGACACGCAGGTAAAGTGACCAGCGCACTGTTTATAATTTGAGGCTGTTTTCAGAAGTATCGTTTAAGACACAGTTTAAGCCGTATTCTTTGAAGTATGTTGGTCTTGCCCGTTTCTGAAACCACAAAATGCTATATCCTTAAAATTTTGTGAGTTTCTTTTAGTATACACCGGAGGTCTTTAAAAAAAATTATTTTTATTTATTTCTGCTTAAAAAAATGGGGACCGGGGGTAGGTGGAGAGGGGTGAGAGGATTCCCCACAGGCAAAGTGTGGAGCAGAACAGTGGACCTACTGAAATACACTACTGAGGGGAGCAGTGGGAACACAGGAGAGGTCTGCTGCGCCTTGTGGGTCACCTCCCTAGCCGGGGATCGAACTCAAGCCACAGCAGTGACAGCAACACTGGTGTCTTGAGGCACATAGCTTACGGGTTTGGGGGGGAAAGTCTGTAATATAAATGTGTTTGTAGTAAATGTCCTTACCATGGTATATGTGAACTTATATGTACACTGTAAAATACAACAAACAGGGCCTCCCTGGTGGCTTGGTGGTTAAAGTCTCAGTGCTGTCACGCTGTCAAGTTGGATCTCCGGCCAGAGAGACCCACATGGCGTGGCAGACCTCTCCTGTGTTGCCAGCTACTCCCCTTCATAGTGTCTTATCAGTAGATCTATCTGCTCTGCTCCCAAATCTGAGGGGGGGTCACCCCACTCCCTGCACCTCTGGCCTACATCCCAGTATATGTATTAATTTTAAAAATAAACCTTTAATATATAACATTTAACACGGCAAAAAAAAAAGTAATTTTCTTGAATTAGATTACCAGACACATTGGTTGCTGCAGAATAAAATTCAGCTTCTGTTTGCCTGTAGTCTGGCTTTATGCAGTCGCTGTATCTTAATATGTGCTGGGCAAAGTGCTGGCACAGGAGTATAAAGATGAAAATGCTGGTGTCCGTGACATTTGTCAGGTTTCAAAAGCAGGTAATAGGAAAGGACTTTGACTTTTTAAGCTGAGACACACCTAGAATTAGGTTTTCAGTGGTATACTGCATAGAGATGACTCCAAGATTGACCTCCATAAGAGAACAAGTTAGAAAGCGTCTGTTCCCTGTGCATCACAGTCAAAAGCATTTGAAACAGGTGTTGAAGGTACATCTGCCCCTGAGAAATATGTTTGTCACCTTCACCATGCTTTTGAATAAAGTGGGCCCAGAGGGTTAAATCAGAATGTGCCAGAGGGTAAGAGACTAGTGCAAAGGCTCCCTCGGGAAGGTGGAGGGTCGGTTGGCCAGATGGGCCTCATTCACTGGCTCTTCTCCCAGAAACAGGAAAATGGCCTGAGAGCCAAAGACTGGTGTGAAGGTGCAGATGACTGGGGAAGTGACAGTGAGGAGGCGTCCCTGTCACAGCTTTCCCGGGACTCTGGAAGTGACTCCAGCCGTGCCAGAGATGCAGACTGGACTGTCCGGCTCCAAGACCTTCACCTGCAGGATGCTGTCCCGGCAGCTGCTCCTGTGTCTCCTGGGGGAAAGACAGCCTTGACCTCTGTGGTACCGCGGTTCCTGCCCCACTACATTTGTGTGGTAGACGAGGATGATTATGGCGACTTTGGCGGTCTCGATCATGCCCACAGCCTTCTACAGGAATATCAGCAGCGGGAAGGAATTGACATGGAACAGCTGTCCCAGGGGTGAGCACTTTGGTCAGTCAGGAAGCTGCTGTGGAAAGAGCCCTTCGTGTTTCCTCCCATACCTGAGGAAACTCAGGCAGAACTTGTGGGGGGGGTCCTCTGCGTCTGTCTCCTGGGGTGAGAGAAAGGGGGTCGTAAAGCCACCTTTGAGTGAGCCTGAAAACACTGTGCTGTCTGGATGAGTAACCTCAAGAAAAAGAAGGAGCAGCACCTTTCCAGAACATTGTTCACTGGCTCTTGAATGCGCTTCTGTGTTTAAATGGCCTGATAGCTAAAACAAGTAAATTAGAAAAATGGCATTTATTAGTTCTTGGCTGTGGCCCAGGACCTCAGATTCCTCTAGCGCCTCGGTTCCCATAGAACAGGAACGTTACTCATTCCTCTGATGTCTTTGCTGCCGGAAGCTTTGGGTCAGTGAGAGACGAGGTCTTGAAGGCCTGATAAGCCAAGCCCTGTTGTTTGATATTTATGTATTGAAATGAATATATTGAGTGCCTGTACACTTTATTTTAAAACAAAATGATCTTTACTCTTCAGGATATTGTAACCCTCTGGACATAGGTAATCAAAGGTGTTTTTTGCTTCTCATTTAGTTTTTCTAGTGATGGTAGTGAAAAATATGAGAAGACCGTAATTAAAAGTGGAGACAAGATATTTTACAAATTCATGAAGAGAATTGCTGCTTGTCAGGAGCAGATTTTAAGGTAAAAGAGTTACTTTTATTTTCGTTGATTATAAAGATTGTAATGTTTGGAAAATACAGGAGTGTGCAGCGAGAAAACCTAGATTCACTGTCTCCCCAGACCATGTGATGACTGGCTGGATTTTGCTAAACTGTGTTAGTTTGTTTTATGTGATATTCCTCGTCCTTTTCATGTGATGTTGGTGATGTTGCATTAGTTTGATCCATCATTCTGGTATTGACTTTTTCCCCTTTTATTGTTTTATTTTCTTTCTTTCTTTCTTTCTTTTTTTAGATGTATTTTATTGCTGTATACAAGAATGGGGTGCAGGCCAGAGGTGCACGGTGGGGGGCGGGGAGGAGGGGAAGATTCACTAGGGATAAAGTAGAGAACAGAACAGGCAGATCCACTGAAATCCACTGCTGCAGGGAGACAGGAGAGATCTACTGTGCCATGTGGGTCACCTCCCTGGCCGGGGATCAAACTTGTGCTGCAGTGACTGTTGCAACGGCTAAGAACAGCTTCAGAGTGCTACGCTTTAACCTGTTGCACCACCAGGGAGGGCTCTCAGATAATTTTATAAGCTTAGCTCCTTGACTTGATTTTATGTATGAATTAAATATTACTGTCTCCTTTTATACCTCTTACAACTTAAAGAAGTTACTAGAAATTATATGTTGGAGAACAGTAGATAAAGAAAGAAGTACCTCTCCCCCAGAAAGATGTGCCCCCCTCTCTGTAAGGTCCGTGTGGATGTCTGAGTCCATTTAACCTGCAGTTGAGCTGGGCCTGGTCTTTGATGCAGTTGGCTTACTAAGTTAACATTTTAACAGGAAGGTTTATTAGGAGAAGGAGAACAAAAGACACCTGTGTGGGCCCCGCCTCGGGAGGCGCGGGGTGAGTGTCAGTTCGATGTTCGCCTTCCGGCCCCCAGCAGACTGGGAGTCGGCGCTGCAGCACTTCAGATCGCCCTGCTGCCAGCTTTTGGCGCATGGATTCTCTAGTTTGCTTCTTGGTACTCTGCAAGAGAAAAAGTGAGCAAAGCATGGTGTCCAGATGTGACATGGTTGTGACTGTCGGGCTCTGCTTCCTTGCCGCAGGTACTCCTGGAGTGGGGAGCCCCTTTTTTTGCAGTGCCCGCCGTTGGATGCCACAGACCCCCCAGCCTGCGGTCACTGCGGAGGCGGGCGGATATTTGAGTTTCAGCTGATGCCGGCCCTGGTCAGCATGCTCAGAAGTGCTGACTTAGGTAAGAGGCCTTTTCCCAGTCTCATGCTGGGCACTGACTTGGAATTATTTTAAAACGAAAGACTGTCTTTTCACTTTTTCTTTTTTTAAGATTCATTTATTTGGGCCTCCGTGGTAGCATAGGGAGCACTATGAAGCTATCGCCAACCATTGCATCAAGAGTTCAATCTCAGTTCAGTCAGCCAGGGAGCTGACCCACAGGGCACAGCAGACCTCTCCTGTCTCCCCGCTGCTCCCCTCAGCAGTGTATTTCAGTGGATCTGCCTGCTCTGCTCCCCACTCTGTTGCCAGTGAATCCTCTCACCCTTGCATGTCTGGCCTACACCTCAGTTCTTGCATCATAAATAAAAATAATTTAAAAAAATATATAAAAGATTTACTTATTTATGCATGCAAGAGCTGGGGTACAGGCCAGAGATGCGGGAGGTAAGAGCAGAACAGGCAGATCCACTGAAACACACTGCTGAGGGGAGCAGCGGGGAGACAGGAGAGGTCTGCTGCGCCCTGTGGGTCAGCTCCCTGGCCGGGGATCCAGCTCAGGCCATCGTGGTGGTAGCGCTGAGACTTAACTCCTGTGCCACCAGGGAGGTCCTGTGTTGACACTCTTTGGGATCTACCCAGAAGTGGGATTACTTGATCAAGCAGTAGTTCTATTTAGGAATTCTTGAGGCACCTCCATAGTGTTTTCCAAATCTCTAACTGTTACGTTCCCACCAAAAACCTAAAAGGGTTCCTTTTCCCTCATCCTCTCCAGCACACTGTTTCTTGACTTTCTGCTGACAGCCATCCTAACGGCGGGAAGCGAAATCCCACTGTGGTTTTTGCCTAACGCATCAGCAGGTGGGCGCGCGCCTGTCGCTCCTCGGCATGTCCTGTGGCGTCGCCGCCTTTGCGTTCTGACAGCAGTTTCTCTCACTGCAGAAACTTTCTCGTTTGATGTAGTCCCGTTTGTTTATATTTCCCTTTGTTGCTGTTGGAGACAAATACACAGGCTAATGTCAGAGTCTGTGATCCATTTTGACTTAATTTTAGTAACTGTGTAAGATAGTAGTCTGTCTATCTTCAGCCTTTTGCATGTGACTGTCTACTCTTCCCTCTTGCTCAAGACTTTTGTTCCTCAGCTGCATGCTCAAAACATTGGTTAGCTATTTAGGTATGGTTTTAAAAAAAATGTTTTCAGAAGTATATACTAATTGAAATATTGGAATGAATTATGCAAATTTGACAGAAGGAAACAGTATAAAACTTGCAACTTTGTAATAAAAAAATGTTAAAGAAAGGGAAAGATCTGAATAAAAAGAAGAAAGCACAGTGAGCTATGAGAGATTTGGCTATGGGTATATTATGTTAACAATACTTAATGAAGGCATCCAAATTTTACCTCAATTAAAAATAAAAACAAAAATAAAAAAATAAAAAAAAACTTGCAAGACTTCAGGCACTGCATCCTTCCCGCCTGGGTCTAGTTTCTAAAAGACCGTTTTGATACAAATCTTCCGTGTTTCCGTTTTCCATAGGGTGAGTTTGGTTCCCTTACTCTAAGAACAGATGAGGACATGCATGACTTTACTCCACCTCTAAATATTTAGTGTCATTTTTACCTCATCAAGTTTTAGTTCTGTGTTTGAATAAACTCAGTGTCACCCCACCCTCTGAGCTTTTCCATTCCTGAATCCTTTGCTTTGGTCTCTGGTAGAGCGCTGTGGACAGCTGGTGCGACTCTAGCACTCCACAAAAGGGTCTCACCGGGAAGTACATTTTTCTGAAAATCCCTGAGATCTCATTTTTATTCAGCTAGCTGTCGGCTTTGGAAGTTGCTTTGCAGGAGTCTGAGGGGCCTGAGCCCCCTCCCCACTCCTGGGGCTCCCCCGGAGTGCTGGCCTGCCCGCAGCGTTTATCCGTGAGCCCAGGCTGTGTGACCCCACGTCCCCCCGCTGTGGGGCAGGGTGGATCTTCACATCCCTGCATTTCTGAGTGTCCCGTCTGCTGCATTTGTAGCTTTTCTACTGAAGCCACGAGTTGCTTGGTCCGCGTTCTCTCACACCCGTGTGAACATTTTCCCTCTGTGTTCATTGAGATTCTCTCAGGCCTTTTCTTTCTGCCTGTGGTTTGGCTTCCTCCTGTCTTTTCTGTCTCTGTGGTTTCTGATGTTTTTCATAGGATGCTCGTGAGTGAGGCTGTTCGCTTCCCCTTCTCTGGCCCCTCCTCACCTCCGGGTTGTGGCAAGCCTCTGGGCTGGGGCTGCGCTCACTGCCCTCGGCTACTAGGTGTGGTCTCTGCCCCCTGGCATCTCCTCTCCTGGTGGTTCTGAGTTCAGAGGCTCCAGCCTTCCCTGCAGGCGGCCTGTTGCACATTCTGGTTGGAAGTTCTCAGATTCACCACATAGTTCCATTTTGATCTTCTGTCTTCGCTGATGCTTTTCTTTCCATTTGCCCTGCCGACATTATATACTTTTTTTTTTTTTTTCAGATTTATTTTATTTATGCAGATAAGAACTGGGATGTAGGCTAAAGGTGGTGGGGAGCGGGGGTTCACCAGGGACAGAGTGGGGAGCAGAACAGGTAAATCGACAAAGTACACTGCTGAGGGGAGCAGCGGGCGGTCAGGACAGGTCTGCTGCGCCATGTGGGTCAGCTGCCTGGCTGAGGTCGAACTCCTACTGCAGTGGCTGTTCATAGCTTCACAGGGCTGAAACTTAACCCACACGCCACCAGGAAGGGCCCTGGTCATTATAAATTTCTGTGAGCACTTAGGATTTGTTCTGTGCTTGCCCTGCGCCCTGTTTTGGAGCCAGCATGTTCTCGTGTCCAGGATGAGTTTCACTGACAGTCTAGAAAGTTGTAATGAAGTCTTGTGGAAACTTTTGTTTTTAAAGTAGTCTGTTTTTCTATTAAATTTGCTATTCCGCCTTTCTGATGGCCTAGGGGTTAAGTCTCAGCGCTGTCACACTTCAGCCTATGGTTGATCCCCGGCCAGGGAGTGATCCACATGGCCCAGCAGAACTCTCCTGTCTCCCCACTGCTCCCATCAGCAGTGTATTTCAGTGGATCTGCCTGTTCTGCTCCCCACTCTGTCTCTGGTGAATCCTCTCACTCTGTACGTCCGGCCTGTACCCCATTTCTTTCTACTCAAAAATAAATAAAATACAAATTTTTAAAAATCTGCTTCTCCTCATCATAGTCACTTAGTTTAGCAAAGAGTGTGACTATGTTGTGATTGAAAGTGAGCACTGTTTTTGCTTTACTAGTTATTTTATCTGCTTTTCAGTTAGAGTCACCACATGGCAACCAGTTACCCTGAGTGAACCACCTTCCTCCTTCCCTTTGTTAGTCTTCTCACTGCTTTACCTGTTTTCTCTATGCGGAACACGTAAGGTGTGCCTCCCCCGGTTCGAAGTGTCTCCTAAGAGCTGATTCCCCTTCGTAGTTTATAACCATGACAGACGCGGGCAGAGTGGGTGAGGTCGCTGGCTCAGCTCGCTGAGGGAGCGCTGGCTCGGAGAGCCGGTGTCTTGCCCCGGGGCCTCGGCCCTGCTGAGCAGACTTGCAGGTATTGACTGCATGACATTATACCTTCTATTTCCCTTTTCTGGAATTCTGAATATGTTGTATTTTTTAGGTCTTTTTGTGGAATTCGGAACAGTTCTGATCTACACATGCGAGAAGAGTTGTTGGCCTCAAAACCACCAGACTCCCTTAGAAGAATTTTGTATTATACAGGAAGACCCAGATGAACCATTATTTAAGTAGTGCTTTCCCTTTTATTTATATAAATTATAATAAATTTTAATATCTGAATTTTTGTCTTTTTATCTCATTTTGACAAATTACTGACTCTCATTGTCAAGACTTGCCCTTTTTGCTTTTTGGCCCCCATGTGGCAGCTGGGGCCAGGATTGGGAGCCTCTGGGTGGCGGGCTAGTCTTCCCCTCCGGTGCCAGCCATCCCACATGGCTCTTCTCCAGTCCCTGCCAGGCAGCCTGCTCTGCCTTTCAGAAGGGAAGGAGGACGCAATGGGCGGGCGCCAGCAGGGGCCAGCCCCTATTCCTGCCGCCTTCCCCTCCCTGGTGTCCTCAGCCCCTGCTCTCCCGCTCTCGAGACAGCAGTATGAAGATGCCCTGTGAGCTGTGTGTGACCAGCTCTTGCCTGTGCAGGAGAGGAAACTAGGTCTTAACGTCACCCTTTGATGTGCTTCTCTGGGAAGCCACACACCAGCCCATGTTGCCAGGAGATGCTGTTCAGTGCAGCCTGTGGCCTATGAGACCCCCCTCACGCTGCCCGTATGGCAGAGGGGCTGGCTGTGCCCAAGCTGAAGGTCTGCTCATTGGGGTACAGGCACACTGGGGGTGCGGGGTTCATTTGTGACTGGATTTTCTTAGAAATTAGAAATAGGTGGAATTACATGCTAGCTACTGAATTGCATTCCTCCCGCAGGGCATGGCCTCCCTAAATTGCATTCCCTCTCTAGGACTGACTTTCCTCACTGGATTATACCCCCATCCCTCCTCATGATTAATCATTAGCTGGCAGATTTCCCCTGCATTCCTGGGAACTTAGAAAGGTAATTGTATGCCACCCCTAAAAATTCAGTCTGACTTGGGACCTGGAGATGTGAATCCCTGACTGCTCTCACATTTCCTTGGCCCTTATAAAATCCCAGCACTCTGCCCTTCAGGGAGCCGGGGGTTTGGGCATGCCTTTATCGCCAGCTCTCTGCTGATTATTTCCAGTAATGCTCCTTTATTTAAAGGCATTTCTCCTGATTCAGTTTGGTAGTCTGGGTGCAAGTGAAAAACCCAGTTTGGTCATTTGCAAGCTGAGCTGCTGTGTTTTTAAGATTGATTTATTTATGCATACAAGCACTGAGGTATAGGCCAGAGGTGCAGGGAGGTGAGAGGATTCACCACAGTGGAGAACAGGCAGAATGACTGAAACACACTGCTGAGGGGAGCAGTGGGAAGACAGGAACTGTGCTGTGCCATGTGGGCCAGCTCCCTGTGGGGAATCAAACCCAGCTGCAGTGGCTGGGGATAGTTTCATGTGCTGTCTTTAACCCCTGCATCACCAGGGAGAGTCCAGGACTTTCCGCTTTTACTTCTCCGATTGTATTCTACTTGAATTGTTAAAATGGGCAAGCGTTTTACACTTGTATACACATGGACACATGGAAGTTGGAGCAAAAATCAGCTTGAGTAAGGCAGCAGCCATTCTACCAGACAGAAGCTCCCAGGAGCTGTCCGGATTTAAAATCTTTTATAGTCGAAAGCACAAACAAGTATATTAGGCAAAAATGGTGAGATCTTTCAGGCAAGACTCCCTAGTCCCCTAGTCCAGTCACTGCTGGACTTCTTGGATGTACCTGGGGTACATGCGCCCTCATTGCCAGGCAGGACAGAGGCACATAAGTGCATTTTAAGTATGACTAAGAGGAATTAGAGAGCTGGAAACCACTGACAACAGCTCCAAATGCTGTTCAGAGGGCACAGACCCAGATGCACTCTCTTTCCCTCTTCCTATCCAGCTTGGTCCCTGTTCCCAGCCATGAACTTGTGACCACCCCCAGTCCTCCTTCCTCTTATTCAGCTTATCATCTTCAGACTTTCTGGAGACTCAAGAGATATTCAAAACAAACCTATGCACCTATGTGCTCCTTCTATTAGTTTACCCAGATTAACCACAGGCTCTGTGTCAGATGACAGACCTTTTGCTGGAATTGAGGAAATCCCAAATGTAGCTGCCTGTGCAGCTTTGTTACTAGCCAGGCTTACAGGTACATTGATTGAGATCAGCTCTCTTCGTCCTCCCTGTCTGGTATTTCAGATGGTAATTTTTTCATTATTATAATAGTTTATTTTTATGTCATTTTGTGACTTTTTCCATCTCAGTTGTACTCCCCATGGGCTTCCCATCACCAAATCAATCACCCGTGTGCCATCACCATAGTCCCGTGCACAACCCCCCCACCCCCATTTTTTATCCCATTCCCCACTCCACCCCCATAAAATGTCTCTGGTATGTAGCTGTTCATCATTATTCCCCCACCCTCCCTTTATGCTGCTGCTATGAGTGAAACCTCAGATGCTAATTTTACAACTTTCTTCTTTGCTGCTGTAACACTGCCACATCAAGTTTTTTCAAGGAATTCTTCTTAGGCAGCCCTGTATAGGGGCTTTGGTTCTTCCTCTGCTTCATTTCCTTATACCTGGAAGCTGTTGATGAGATCTTGTCTTCCTTCTGTCCCCACACCCCAGGCAACATGTTCCTGCTCTAGTCAAGCTTTATGGAGAACCACTGGCACCTTCTTGCCCAACCACTCCACTAGGTGCTAAGGTTTGATTTAAATGAGTCACAATTTTATCTTTACTTATTTATGCATACAGAACTGGGGGTACAGGCCATAGGTGGGTGCTGGGGGGGGTGAGAGAATTCACCAGAGACAAAGAGGGGAGCAGAACAGGCAGATCCGCTGAAATACACTGCCGAGGGTAGCAGAGGGGAGACGGGTGGGGTCTGCTGCCTCCTGTGGGTCAGCTCCGTGGCCAGGGATCGAACTCGGGCTGCAGTGGCTGTGATCGCTTCACGGTGCTGTGCTTAAATCCCTTTGCACCACCAGGGAGGCCCTATTTTCTTGTTAATTTGTAAGAGCTCTTTACATAGGGCATTTGTTTTCCAAACTGTAAAGAAGTCCCAGCCCAGAGTGTAGCTGCAGGCTAAGGGGTGAACCCTTAGGTTTCTTAGGTCTAATGGTGGGTATCGGCTCATGGGGAGAAAACCACCACGAAGTAGGAGCCCGCCGCAGCCCTATGGAGGCTCCCGCGCGACCCCAGCCGCAGCCGCCCGCCCCGCGCGCGCGGGCCGCGCAGTGCGCAGGAGCGGAAGCCGGGTCGCCCTTCCCCCAACCGCTTCCGGCCGCGGCAGAGTTCTCCCGCCTCCGCCGGCTCGTGGTCGTCCCGCCATGGCACTGTCGCGGGGGCTGCCTCGGGAGTTGGCCGAGGCCGTGGCCGGAGGCCGGGTGCTGGTGGTGGGTGCGGGCGGCATCGGTTGCGAGCTCCTCAAGAACCTGGTGCTCACCGGCTTCTCCCACATCGACCTGGTGAGGGCCGGGCGTGCGCGCGGGCTGAATGGCGGGCCGCGGGGCCGGGGCCGGGGCCGGGAGTTCGGGAGCCGAGTTGGGGGCGGGCCGAGAGCCCCGGGGGTGGCCGCCCACCCGGAGGGAGCTGGTGGGCGCGGCCCGGTGGGCCTCGCCGCTTGCGGGGCCGGCTGCGGGCGCGGGGAGGCCTCGAGCCGGGGTCTTCCGGGCGTCCCGCGGCGGGGCCGCCCCCTGCCTCCCGGGCAGCGCGGGTCGTGGTGGCTTTGGGCTGTGGACGAGAGTGAGCGTCTTCGCGCTTCGGAGCAGTTCTCCGGCCCTCCTGGGACGCTGGAGGTGCTCGGTAGAGTCCCTGTGGGTGGTCAGTCCGCGGCACCCCTTAACTCAGTGAGGGTCCAGAGTGGAGGGTGGCGGCATCGCGGCCGCGCCGCCCAGCCACCGGAGGTTGCGGGCGCTCTTTGCACCCAGCTTTGCTTGCAACGGGGGGAAGGCAGTGGCGTGGGCTTTAGGAACTTTTCCTGTGGTCACGGAGCGAGGAGCCGCACCCCTTGGGGCGCTGCGTGGCTGTCATCGCTCCCACTGTGACTTCCCTCGTCCACTCTCCTTATTCCAAACTCAAGATGCCGGCTCGGGTTTTAACTTAACCACCGTGGGCTGTCTGGGAGCTACTGTGATTTTTAAATCACGTATTTGTCGGCTTCTTAGAAAGGGGAGAGGATAACGTGTGGAACTTGGATGTGAGTTTCAAGTGCGGTCGGAACATGCAAAAAAAAAGTTTTTTCATGAACAAAAAGTGTTGGCTGAACTCACATAAGTGACTGGGGGACGGGAGGGGAATCTATTTTTTTCCCTTTGACTTTTTTTAGGGTTCGCCTCCCCATCCATATTCTGTACCACAAATCCCCCAAATAGAGTTGTGCCTTAGTGGCTAAGCGCTAATACTTGTTGAAAAGAATCGTTTTGTGATATGGAAACCATGAAACGTGGGGGGAGGTGCCTGCCTTTTAAATTTAAATTTTTAGATAATTTAGAAAGTACAGATAAATATTTCAGTGGTTATATGTCTAATTTTTACATATTATGCCCAGTCACTAACTGACAATTAGAACATGTGATTACTCTTCATACAATTTTATTGAAAAGAATTGAAAGTGACTTGTTATTCCGCCCTCACATTTATTTTAAGCAGTAATTAGAATAACAAAAAAGATAAACCCGCTGCTAGAGGAAATTTAAAATGTGACGCTTTTTAAACCTTTTAGAAGTTCCCCTTCACAGTCCTCAGGTAAATTGTAAATGAGTTTGTGTATGGGTGAAGACTTGAATCAAAGAAAGCAGCAAAAAAATCAAATCTGAGTTTTGGTTTTTTTGTTTTATTTTTTAAAGACATTTTATTTATGCTTACAAGAACTGGGGAGACCTCTGGGGTCCAGCAGTGGGGTAGAGTGGTTGAGAGGACTTACCAGAGTGGGGAGCGGCACAGGTGGATCTACTGAAATCCACTGCTGAGGGGAGCAGCAGGTGAGATAGGAGAGGTCTGCTGCACCATGTGGATCACTTCCTAGTTGGGGGTTGTCCTGCCTCAGTGGCTGGCGACAGCTTGATAGTGCTGTCTTAATCTCTGAGGTACCAGGGAGACCTGCAAACAATATTTTCATAAAGTATTTTATAATTTTTTGGAAAAGTTAATTTTTTAAAAGATTTATTTATGCATACAAGAACTGGGGTATGGGCCAGAGGTGTGGATTTGGGGAGGTGAGAGATTTCACCAGAGACAGAGTTGGGAATAGAACAGGCGGATATACCTAAAACTACTGCTGAGGGGAGCAGTGGGTGGATCAGGAGAGGTCTGCTGCGCCATGTGGGTCAGCTCAGGCCTGGGGATCGAGCTTGTGCTGCAGTGGCTATGGAGAGATTAGTAGTTTGTGTTTTAACCTGTTGTGCCACCAGGGAGGCCCACTTGTTTTTTGTTTTGTTTTGTTTTTTAATGTATTAAATTACTTTTATCTATTCAACAATTTTTATATGATTGGTCTGAAAAGCATTATCTCAACTACAAGTTCTGGGTTTTGGGTGCTGAGGATATTGATATTGTTTAAACATACCAGAAAATTTGTAATTTATATGAGGTTTGTGCATTTGTAGATTGATCTGGATACTATTGATGTCAGCAACCTCAACAGGCAATTTTTGTTTCAGAAGAAACATGTTGGAAGATCAAAGGCCCAGGTAAATATATTCCTCATACCATTTCTATTCTGCACCACCACCCCCCCTTTTTTTTTTTTTGAAGATTTATTTTTATGTGTGCATACAAGAACTGAAGTGTAGACAGTTACAAGGAATGAGAGGGTTCACACCAGAGACAGAGTGGGGAGCAGAACAGGCAGATCCACTGAAATACACTGCTGTGGGGAGCAGCGGTTGAGACAGAAGAGGTCTGCTGTGCCTTGTTGGTCAGCTCCCTGGCCGTGGATCGAACTTATGCCATGGTGGCTGGTGATAGCTTGAGACTTTAACTCCAGTGCCACCAGGGAGGCGATCCCTATATTTCTTCCTTTTGATGGAACTTACTTTTTATGGTATCTGATTGATTGCAGGAGGGGGAGTATGAGTGGACCATCCTTTTTTTTTAGTTGGGGGATCATGAAGAATAAGAAGCTAGGCCTGGTCACAGACTCGTGTGTGTGTACATGTATGTACACACAGAGAAACAGAAGTGCTAGACCTAGTCCTGCACATGGCACGGAGTAGTTGAGTTCACAGTTGTTTACTTAGGCCGACTGGCGGTTCTGCATTCCACTGCTCTTACATTTGGGACAAGGGAAGCTACAGCCTGTGCTGTTGGCTGTTTCGAGAAGACTGTCCCCTGCAGATCTAGACACCCTGTCCTTTCTTTAGTTCCCTGTCTTGATGAGAGCTCTTAAAACATGTTTTTTCTTTTGTTGTTCATCCTAATCTTTTGGCAAACTTCCATTCTCTGTCGTTTTTAAAATTTGGGCTATCTTTGCTGGGAGTGTTTTCTTAAAACTTCCTAAGGTAAATCCTGTCTTCCTCTCATAACAATCTCTGCTCTCATCAATGGTCATATTTTGTAGTTACATCTATTTAGTTATTTTGTTATGTCACTTTTGCTTTAGCATTTCTTTGAATGAGCATGAGTCCTCTGTAGAAGATGCTAAGTTCAGTGTTTGCTGAGTGAATGATTGAGATTTGATCGCTCCGTTTTAGATTTTGTTGGAGCCTGCCATTTCTGTTGACGTCTGGGTGGTGGGGGAGCTCTTTGTTTATGTGCTCACGTGTATAGCCTGATCAATGGAGGTTTACTGTCTTTTTTTTTTTTTTTAAGGTTTTTAATGCATTATGTAAGCGAAACTGTAATATTGTCTATCATAAATTTACATGTAGAAATGTAGTGATTAGTAAGTTGTTGTTGCTTGTTTTTCCAGGTGGCCAAAGAAAGTGTGCTGCAGTTTTACCCGAAAGCAAACATCATAGCCTACCATGACAGCATCATGAAGTATGTTCTAATTAAGTCAAAAACTTAGGTTTACTGTGAATTTTTAAGCTTTTAAAGTATAAGATACTTTTATTAGTCAAATATGTAAGCTCTGAGTCATTCTGCTCTTTGAAATTTTTTCCTGAAATAATTAAATTGGTAGCTTGTGCCCACATGGTGACAATCCTTTGGCAATACTATATATTTGTGAGTTTGTATGACTAGAGTAATTTAGACATTTTAATGCATGCAATAAATAGCTTGCTTGGAAACTGGTAAAGGACATTGTTTCAAATAAAAAGATAGTTAAACTTTGAAAAATTATTATATGTTATGATTCAGACTTTTCTAAATATATCAGTCTCCCCTGGTTTTTTTTTTTTTTTTAGATTAATTTATTTCTGTGTAGAAGAGCTGGGGTACAGGCCAGAGATGTAAGGGGACAGTGAGAGGATTCACTAGAGACATAGTGGGGAGCAGAACTGGCAGATCGACAAAGCACACTGCTGAGGGGAGCAGTGGGCGAGACAGGAGAGGTCCGCCGTGCCATGTGGGTCACCTCCCTGGCCATCCTGGGAATCGAACTAGTGCTGCAGTGGCTGGCAACCACTTGATAGTGCTGTCTTTAACCCCGGCACTACTGTGGAGGACCTGTAACATTCTCATTTTCATGGATTTCCACTGTGACAGTTTTCTGCTTATAATACTGCTCCCAAAATAATTCATTCGTTGATACTACAGGAAATTTGATGGGCAGTCGTTTGGATAGTACACAAATAAAGAGTATTCTGAGTAAATAGATTTTGGAGGTGTTGGGACAAAGGAACTCAACATCAGTTATCTCCAGCCTTACTGTTTTCTAGTTTACCAATAAGTGATACTAAAAAGTGAGTGCTTATTTGAGTTCTGAAATTAGAGAAAGTCTTTTACTTACTTTCTCAGGGAGTTTGTATCTCCAGCATTTTTCTTCTCTGGATGTTTGTTCTATAAGTCTGCCTATAGCACTATAATCCTTTACTCTGTGTTGCTTTCCCAGTGTTCTAAAAGTAGGGGCCCTAGGGGCCTGAACTCTGCCTGATCTTGACCATGTGAGGTGAAGCCAGAGGCCAGGCAGATCCTGGGAACGTGTTCTTTGTGTGTTCCCAGGCACTCGCTGCCTTGTCCCCCCGGTGGGGCTGTTGAACCCATGCCATTTGTCTGCCGCTTTGCCAGTTCGAGAGCCTGCACTTGTGCCCCGAGTAACTAGCCAAAACAGATGCTTGGGCAGGCATAGGAATTCGGGGAAATGATTTCCTTCAGATCTGCTCATGGTTTTAAAAAGTCTGTCGAGATGGTAAAGGCCCTAATGCATTTATTTTACACTGCCAGTACTTTCACATGCTTTCTAGGATCATGTATTATACTGTCCGTTGTTTCAGTGACCTGTGTTTTATTTTGTAGCCCAGACTATAATGTGGAGTTTTTTCGACAGTTTATACTGGTGATGAATGCTCTAGATAACAGAGGTGAGATTATTTTAATACTTTTAATTTCTAAGTATTTCCTTTGCCCCATAACAAAGTTGTTCTGTATTTTTGTAGCTTAGTATATCCTTATGAATAAGTTCTTAAAAGACCTACAATGAAGTCAAATCAGGTTTTAAAGTGCTGGTTGGTGTCACTTTTACTAGGCAGGAGTTTAGCTGTCACATACATATACTGCTGTTCTATCAAAGGATGTGAATGTGGGGAAGCTGAAGTCACCAGGTGTGTGTGTGTGACTTCAGACTGTCTCTGCACATAAACATTGTGTGACTCCTTATATGTGGAGTTTTAAGAACTATCAGTGCTCAGATGACATCCAAGAACAGTTACAACTGGGACCTGAGCTTGTTTTCAAAGCACACTAGATGGTTCTATCCTGTAATGAGGGCTAAAAACTGCTGTTTTGGGAATGAGACAGCAAGATGCCAAAGTTAGTTTAGAAACCATGACCCCTGATTAATTTTAGGAAGATTGGACCAGAAGGTAGCAAACTGTTCTAGGTGAATACAGGTTACAATATTTTAGCTTTTCACAGTGTGGGGTGCCCTTTCATGTGTGCAGGTATTGTGAAGTGATCATTGTTGATAAATCTGTTCGGTATATGCAATGTAGGGGGTGAAAATAACTTCCTATTTCTTGCCTGTAACTACTCCCACCTGTAAAAATAACATCTGTCAAGTGAATTTGTAATAGTTTAGACCAGAAATACCAAAAGCAAAAAATAGGAGGAAGCATCAGATTAACTCCTTCAACTTGCTTTTATTTCCCCAGCCTTAAATTGCTTTAATAGTTCCCAGTATGCCACACTATTCACTTTCATGTACTACCTGATAATAATACAAGGATAATAGCAAGTTAAAAACTCAGGACATTGAACAATTTTAGTCAGGGTAGGGAGGCACTGTAATAGTAGAGGAAAATGACACTTTGGAATTTGAATGCTTTATATAGAGGGATGCTTTTCCTAGAGTGCATTTGTGACATAAATTCCTTGTGCTTGAAATCTTAACTCTAGTGACTCTAAAATATCTTAAACAGTTGTATCATTCCACTCATAGCTATACAAACTGCCTGTTAAATAAAAACATTAAGAACTAATGTGGGTAGTGTCCTAATTAAATGTAACTGGTCTCTGGGATTTTTTATTTTTTAAGTTTACTTATTTATACATATAAGAACTGGGGTGGAGGCCAGCGGTGCATGGCGGGTGGAGTGGGTAGGATTTACCAGAGACAGCGCATGAGAGAGGAGAGGTCTGCTGTACCTTGTGGGTCTGCTCCCTGGCCGGGATCAGACTTTCGCTGCTATGGCTAAGAATAGCTTCATAGTGCTTTAGTCCCTTGTGCTACCAGGGAGGCCTTTCTGGGGGTATACAGGCCAGAGGTGCAGGAGGTGAGAGGATTTACCAGAGACAGAGTGGGGAATAGAACAGGCAGATTGACTGAGTACTGCTGAGGGGAGCAATGGGCAGGTCAGTAGAGATCTGCCAGGCCATGTGGGTCACTCACTGCTGTGGCTGCGATAGCTTCATAGTGCTGTGCTTTAAACTTGTTGCGCCACCAGGGAGGGCCCTCTGGGAGTTTTTATGCTTGCATTTTTTTCTTTTAATCAACTTCCACTAATGTATTTTTCTTCCAGCTGCCCGCAACCATGTTAATAGGATGTGTCTGGCAGCTGATGTCCCTCTTATTGAAAGTGGAACTGCTGGTTATCTTGGGCAAGTAACTACTATCAAAAAGGTAACGTTATTAAAATTGTTTTTTTTTTTTCCCAAATACTTATTTGGGTTCACAAAGGGGCAGAAATTTTGGATTTATTTCATATGAACTTGTTGGAATCTAAAATATAAAGCTTTTTGTGCCCCTGTAAAACCGAGGAGACTATAAAGCTACCCCAAAATAGCAGATATCTTTTGTTCTTTGCTGCTTTGCTTCATTTAGCTTTTGTGTTAAAATCCTCGGACTTGTTGGTGTGCTGTGCCTTCTAATAGTTGATAGGTAATGAGCCAGGTTTTTGAAATCACTAGAAGTGTCTGGAATATGTATTCAGACAGATTGAGGGCCCTCCCTGGTGGTGCAGCAGGTTGGAGTGTAGTGCCATGAAGCTAACCATAGCCACTTCAGAGTTCAATCCCTGTCAGGGAGCTGACACACATGGCACAACAAACCTTTCCTATCTCCCCCCTGCTCCCCTCAGTAGTGTACTTTATCAGTCTGCCTGTTCTGCTCCCCACTCTGTCTCTGGTGAATCCTCACTGCCTCTGCATCTTTGGCCTACACCTCAGTTCTGTGTGCATAAATAAACTTAAAAAGAAAAAAGTCAGATTGAGAATTGCTGAGGTAGAGGATATTTATATGATCGCTTTGAAAAATTGTCTCATGTGCTATCTAAACTTCTTCCTGTATTTCCTTAACTGTAACTTTTAAGATTTATTTTCATTTATTTATTTAAAGATTTATTTATGCATACAAGAGCTGGGGTGTATGCCAGAGGTGGTAGACGGAGGTTAGAGGACTCACCAGAGGCAGAGTGGGGAGCAGCACAGGTGGATGTACTAAAACAAACTGCTGAGGGGCGCAGCGGGCAGGACAGGGAGACATCTGCTGCATTATGTGGGTCAGCTCCTTGGCGCAGGGGTCGGGATGGAACTCAGGCCACAGTGGCCACAGTGGCGATAGCTTGGCGATAGCTTGATAGCGCTGAGGCTTTAACCCTGATCCACCAGGGAGGGCCCCCCAAAATTAATGACTTTAATTAATTTAAATTTTGGATGGTATAATTATAAGAACAGAAATCACTGAGTTTCATAACTTGAAAGTTTTTTTTTTCTTTTTGAAGTGACCAAGGTAAACTTGTCATTGATAATCAGTTGCAGTCAAATTTTCATTTGGCTAGGTATAAATATTTACTAGGATCAGTGTTAAGAGTTTTGGCTTAGCTTTAGCTGTGACTATGCTTGACAGAGTTAGCGGTTATGTTAAGATCCTTATCTATAAAATGGGGAGGTTAAACATTTCCTTGACAATGCAGTAGGAATGTGGATGGATGATTGCTGTTATCCTACAATTTTGAGAAACTACAGTCACGGGATGCATATTTTTCTCATGTTTTGACTTTGCAGGGAGTCACGGAATGCTATGAATGCCATCCCAAACCGACCCAGAGAACTTTTCCGGGCTGTACAATTCGTAACACACCTTCAGAACCTATACATTGTATTGTTTGGGCAAAGTACTTGTTCAAGTAAGTGTACATTTGCATACATACATTACATATATATAGAGAGAGAGAGAGAGCATGCGACATATACACTTCTGGGGATATTTTCATTACTGATGATGGAAAATGCAATCACTTTTATTCGACTATTTTGGAGCTACAGTGCTTATGATGAATATTGAAATGAAACTTTAGTAGCTTCTAGTGGTATTTCTTGTATATTACAGAAAACTGAATATAGTCCAGAGTTCCAAAACCCAGGGTCCTGTTATTAAATAAGACACATAACAGTGAACCAATTCTTTTTTTAAGATTTATTCATTTATGCATATAGAACTGGGGTACAGTCTAGAGGTACAGAGGCTGAAAGGGCTCATCAGATAGAGTGGGGAGCAGAACAGGCAGATTGAGTGAAACACATTGCTGAACATTCATGGGGGGACCACCCTAGTGGTGCAAGGAGTTAAGTAGCACTATGAAGCTATCCACCACCACTGCAGCACGAGTTGAGTCCCCAGCCAAGAAGCTCACCCATATGGTGCGACAGACTTTGTGTTCCCCTCAGCAGTGTATTTCAGTCATTCCTCCTCCATTTATGCATATAAGAACTGGGGTACAGTCTAGAGGTACAGAGGCTGAAAGGGTTCATCAGACAGTAGGGAGCAGAACTGGCATATTGAGAAAGTATACTGCTGAGGGGAGTAGTGGGCAAGACAGGAGAGGTCTATAATGCTATGTGGGTCACCCTGGCCAGGGATCAAATTGCTGAAGTAGCTGCAGCTAGCTTCATAGTGCTGTGCTTTAACCTGTTGCTCTACCAGGGAGGGCCTTCCCGGTCTCCTGTCAGAGATTTTAACAGAAATGTGCAGGGTCAATGTGACAAGAATGAGTACAGGTCTACTCTTACGTAGTTTTGTTTGTGTTGTGGTTGAAATTATCTTGAGCAGTCTGAATAGATTACCATGATGCTTTTAAGATTATGGAGTGTCATTTTTCAAGTCTTTATTCTTCATCCTTACTAATGACTTGGAATGCTCTGAATTAGTTGTTTGTGAGGAAAGTAAGAAAAGCACACATATTTCCAGAACATTGTTCTACATAAATATTTACTGCTCTTGTATTATAGCCAGTTGTTTGGGGAAGAAGATGCTGATCAAGAAGTGTCTCCTGACAGAGCTGACCCTGAAGCTTCCTGTGAGTAAACTATTATACATGTTTTCTTATTTATTAGCAAGCACTGCCTTTATTTTGCTAATTTAATATTCATGGCTTAAGAGAAAAGGATTTCTATTATGTGCTAGGTAATAGGTTAAGCACTTACAATGAATTGTTTGTCTTTAATGCAATGTATTTTAAAAATGGGTAATCCTGTTTTCTGATGAGGAAATCAAGGTGCAGGAAATGTCACAAATCTCGTAGTTCTGGGAGCTATTCCCAGACTTGATTCCTGGCCTCTACTTGGAACTGCTCTACATATGGCCTGCAGAAACCAAGGTAGAAAAAGATGAAGTATTTTTCTTTCTTTAACTTAGATTGTAACCTGAGCAGTGTCTTGGGTAAGAACTTAGATCTGTGTTTATTAGAGTTGAAAGTAAAATGGTACTTGTTTTGTAGGGGAACCAATGGAAGCTGAAGCCAGAGCCAGAGCATCTAGTGAAGATGGTGACATCAAACGTATCTCCACGAAGGAGTGGGCTAAATCAACCGGATATGACCCAGTCAAACTTTTCACTAAGGTTTGGTTTCCTTTCCTTACAATTACGGATTATAGGTAGCTTTTAGATGTGTGAAGTTGAATTAAGCTTGTAAAATAATTGAGTTCGTTTTAAAATATATGAAATTGAATTAGGCTAATGTTTTAGTATGTTTATTGAGGCAGGTTTTGAAATCTTACCACTTGTGCTTACATCAGCATAGCAGCTTCATAAGAGGTAAGCTCATAGGCTTGCTTATAAATACCCTTGGTTGTCTTTCCTTCCCTGGCTTGCGTTAGATGTCTTGGTTTTCCTTGTAGGAGGCCTTTGGTTTCTGCTGTTGTGTTTCTTTTGTTTGTTTTTGTTTTTTGTTTGTTTGTTT